TGTTCCCGAATTTCTGCTGATTAATTGACGCTGATTATCGGAAGCAAGGTTAAAGTAGACTAGAAAAATATGAGGTTTGCTTTAGGAAAACATACAGATGTTATCGGGCTCGAGACTTAGAGCTTCTCTACAGATAAGAACAAGGCATTTGAGGACAAACAGATATATTTCACTTTTTAGGTATACATTTTGCCTTTTTTTGTAATCAAAAAACATAAAATTTATAATAAGAAAACATAAAATTTATTATAGTTGACTGTTTAAGATATATTCAGTCATAGCAGGAAGAACATCAGTCATATTAATAGGGCTAATAAAACAACAGAAAATAGAAAATGGGGAAAAATATGACTTACACATTTGCAATCTGGATGATAAGAGGATGTGTTGAATACTTTTTCATGATTTTGTTATTAATGTTATGCATGATTTTTTAAATAGTTTTATTTTGCAATATGGAATTAGTATCTCAGACATTTCAAAGTAATATTTCTTTGGAGATATCTGAAATTATGATTATTATACTTGTTGCTCAGTACTCCAAATAATGGACGCATGCAAGAGAAGAAAGTAAATAAATTTATAGTAAGTATCCAAGAAATTTTTGTTTCCTCACAACGTGCAAAACTGCTCTTCAGATGGCTTCCATTGAATGCAGGGTTGAAAGAATGGAAGAATCTTCTTGGTAATATCTTTCAGTCCTAACTGTTTACCAAATCAAAATACAAAAATATTGGCACTATCAAGCATAGGCTTACAATTTTTTTCAATCAGTGAGGGTGATTTCAGAATTTGTGTTAAGACTATAGATGAAGCTAAGATTTTTTATTACCTATGTACCACACACAGAAATGGGTCTATAGGGGGAAAGAAAAACAGCATTAAATATTTAAATCATTTAACAACACACACACTGTTGGTAAACCACTGAGATACATACTTTCCTAAATCTAAAAAATGAAATAAATAAATGTCAATAAAATATGGCAATAGAATATGGTACAGAGTAGTATTTAATATGAACACACAGTAACACTTCACAGTTATCAGCACTGTGAATGTTAGTTAACCATATTTTAGTTACAAAGGAATACATCTCCTTACAGTAATACCAGGAAGCCCACTCAAAGAGATTGTCATGATGGAAATGAAATGAAATTACATAGCCACACAAACACCAGAAGGTATTTGAATCAATCTGATGCTCTTATAAATTAAATGGCACCAGTAATATTTGATATCAGATATAACTGTACCTTAGAAAAACATGTACACATGAAAAAGGTCATTTATATCTCCCTTAACTACTAACAAGTTACAAACAGAACTTCCACTCATTTTTCTCTTATAGATAAATTTCTGTTGATGCTTCTCAAGACAGCAGGATCTGTCTGTGACGTTGTTTGGGAAATAAAGATACTCACCACCTGTAGCACCAGAAAAATTATCGTTACCATAGGATTCACACTCTCTTAACATAATACAACCAACCTAACCAAAGCAACACACATTAACATGCAATCTTTCAAAAGAAACACACTTGTAATGCTCAAATGCATCTTATTAAAAAAACACACTTTACCAAGCCTTCAATTGACTATATCATGGTTATTAGTGGGGTCATATCTGTAAATCATGTAATTAATAATGTAAATTTCAAGTGATGTTAAAAACTACTGAATCTTTATATACAAACAATTAATGATGTACAAATCATAGCAATTTGGTAGACCATTCTTTGTTTCTTTTTTTTTCCAGCTTTAAATTTTGCCAGGAAGTCTTGTGATTCACGTTAAGATGATATAACTCATAACACTGAATATACTATATATAGCATATTAACTACAAAATCAACTGCACTTCTAAGCCCTCATTTACAGCAATACACTGAAATCTGAAAACTAAAACTTAATTGTCTTACAAGGAAACTAATATACTATGCCTTTTGGAAATAATTTTACTTATTTAAAGCTTACAAAAAAGAAGAGGAAGAAAAACATATCCAATACCATACATACATTCTCCATATTTTTAGAGCAATACATTTTTTCTTTTCAATAATCAGAATAACATTATAACCTCCACATGTATGGAATGTTTATAAATAAGCAATATAATCAAACTTTGCAAACAAAGAAATTCAAATAAATTACCATTCACACAAAGGAAAAACAAAACAAAAACATTGCCATCTGAGAGTATCACAATAAACCCAGTCTCAGTACTTGGCAAAACAACAAACTCTCAAATCATTTTTAAAAAGAGGGTGAAATAATGTGGCATACATTCAATATCATCTTACAAATACTCTTCCATTTATGTCTGTCTTAAAAGGTTCACGTTTGTGCAGGACAACTTACAAAACTAGTGGCCCGTAGATAGCTCCAGATTGGCTTGTTTATTTTTAATTTGATGTGAAAGCTAAGGTCTCTCCTCTAAGTTCACATTTGGAATATCATTCACTCCCTCTGCAATACATTTCAATGTAAAAGAGAGAAAAAAGGGCAAAAGCCATACTTTGGTGTCAGACTAACTCCACATATCTTCAATGATTAGTGATTCATTAAAGTATAAGAATATTAAGAAAGAAACAGTTCATTTCAAAACTCAACAACAGTTCACATCAGTCATAAGCTTATATTCCTTATATTCCCTAAAAATTCCTTACATTCCTTACTTCACACAATCCACATTCTGATCTTCCTGATAATTGTTCAGTATAGAAGCACTCTGTAAACAAAATTGACCACTGTCATTGTGGTCCTGGACTATAACTTTTACCACAGTGCACCCTGTGACAATATCACAGCCATTCTTAGTGCAAAAGGATGGATTATAAAACAGATGCCTAAAGTAATCACCTACCTTACTTTTACATCCCTAGACAAACAAAGAAACTTTTAAGATACAGAGTTATATATACTCATGCAAAGCAAAATTTGTAATAACCCAACATCTGATATATGAATGAAAATATCCAAGGTTGTTTATGTAGTATGCTAATCATCTATCTCTGTTAATACCAACCTATTCAATGATGTACTACAATAATTTCATAAATGATAAGGTGTATATAAGCATATATATACATATGCACATACACATACATTTATATATGAATGTATGTGTATATATATACATTATAAAATCTTATATATGTATTGCACTTTTGTTTTTTGTGAGAAGGAAGTAAAATTAAGAAAAAATAATAAAGTAGTCTTCGGTGAGTTGTCATTCTCTGATCTGAAGTGAAACTGAGTCATTCATAGCCACAATCAAAAGTGGGAAGGAGACACAGACAGTAGTGTTGAATCTGCTAGTTAGCTCAACATATTACAGCTTTAATATTGTTTCCATTTACAACCTACGGGTCAGAAATATCATGAAACTTTTCCTTCAAACCTGCACTCTCTAATTCAATAACTAAGTACTTTGGAACACAAAAACAATTGAAAGAAACAGAAGGAATAGTCTGCGACATGATATTTCTCCCTTGCTCCTGCATATATCAATACTTTTGTTCCAGTGCAATTCACCACTAAGAGACACAGTAAGAAAACTTTAATCTTTGAAAAACTGTCTTTCACACAAGTACATCAAGTATTCAGAATTACAGTCTGGTCACCACAATAAATGACACAAAATAATTACCAAATCAGTGTTTGATAATCACACAATGGTGCACAACAAAAGAAACAACCAAAACTGTGCAGGGATTATAAGTGTAAATCATATTACACATACATACATACATACATACATATATATATATATATATATATATATATATATATATATATATAATATATATATATATATATATATATGCATACATATATACATATATATGCATACATATATATAAATATGCATACATACATATATACATATATAATTATATATATATATATATATATATATATATATATATATATTATATATATATATATATATATATATATATATATATACATATATATGCATACATATATATAAATATGCATACATATATATATATATATATATATATATATATATATATATATATATATATATATATATATATATATATATATATATATGCATACATATACATATATATATACATATATATAAATATATAATATATATATATATATATATATATATATATATATATATATATATATATATATATATATATATATATATATATATATATATATATATATATATATATATATATATATATATATATATCATATGTGAGTGGAACAAAATAAATGTATTCAATATCTGTGTCTCTGTATGACTGGGCTTGACAGCATGGCTAAAGACATATTCCCTCATGAACTTGTTCTAGTGTATAGAACCATGTGTACTCTTACAAATAAACAATATATTTGGAATGGATGTGCACATCTTATTGATAATATGGAACTCACTGAAGTAAAAAAGAGTTGTAGAGAAATATCAACAAGCTCTGCATACACTAGTCCAATCAACTGTACAATTCAATAAAATAATTCTTTGCCACCATTCTTTTCTACAATATCTATACTTCTGTCTAAGCTGACACAAGGGTGTCAGAGTTTGACTTATCTTCACTTACAGTGTCTCTTTTCTCTTCTTCTTTATTTGTGGAATTATCCTGCAATTTGCTTTCACTTTCCCCCACGGGTTTTACTTCTTCCACTTTGTCATTCTTAACAGGAACAACTGATGGATCATCATCGCTCTTCAACTTATCCCCTACTTCAGCTGCTCCAGGTCCTTGCAAATTTTCAGCTAAGAGAGGTGTGTTTCTCTCTTGCTTTTTCCTCTCTGGGGCTGGGGCTGCTGCAGCTTGGTCCTTTTTAACAACTTTATCCCCCTTATCTGGATCCATCTTTTCTATGCCCTCTTTCACTTCCTTGGCCTTGGCATCAAGGTCCTCGGCTGCCACATTTTTGCTTGGACTTTGTGTGGCTGCTCCATCCTTGTCACTGGGATTAGCTGCTGGTGTTGCTGGGATGACAGGT